TGAATATGTGATGATTCAGTAGCATTGATAGTGATGGTGATGGATCAAAGCAGGGGTAGATAACAATTTTAACGTCACCTCGTGAAGAGCATCTAGAAGACCGTAAAAAATAGTGGGCTACAGTAGCTAGTTAAGTGAAAGTGACAGCTGCATGAAGGAAAAGTCAAAACCTGTCCCAACTGATATGCTATTTGAAAGGTCGGCGAACCAAATAGCAAAAGAAGCTGTGATAAAAGTGGGCAAGTTGCTCAAAGAAGGTAACAACGGCTTGATTGCAGAGTAGAGTACTTCAATGGATAGGTAAGCTGACGTGGCGCTAACCAGATTGCAGTATTTGTGACTCCGTGATCCGATTCATGTGAACCTCCTGGTGAAAAAGAAGTACGATCTCGCACCCAAGGTCTGAANATAAATGAAAGCAAAAGGACCTGTCGGGCTTCTTTCCGCGATTTACAAGCTGAGAGTGATGGCGTCGTTAACTCCAATACTGATTTAATGCGTAATATCATGCGAAAAGAGAGCATAACCCTGGAGCGAATTGCTCATCCTCCATTTTTTTAAGAAGGGATCTCGCAATGACTGCGCAAACTACAGTGACACCAAGTGTCACCAGGATATTAGCTTCCGTCAGACGGTTGTATCGATCAACTCTTCGCGCTGCGTCAAGTCCTCGAGCTACGCCATACACAGCGTCGATCAACGGTTGTCGTTTCCCTTCACCTAAAAGAAGCCCTTGACTCCGTTGACCACGATTGCATTGCGGGTTCGCTCCTTCACAAAGAAAATGCTGCAGGTGAATGCGAGTATGCTTAGGTCACTCTAATTGTATACTTCTACTAGCGTAAGGGTCTGCGGCGAGTTGGATATTGGGTGTTCCCAGCCTTGCACCTAATCCAATAATTGTCTTGCTCTAATTTTAGTGCTTTTGTTTCTCCGCATTGCTGGAAAACTTCTCTTTTTAAGCTATAAATTTTGCTTACTTGTACATTTACGCATTTACACAAGCAGGAACTCGGGGGACCTGTTCAAGCACCTTTTAAATACGTTACTTCTTGGCTTCTGCTGTATACCAAAAAGGTTTAGATGTTTCATTCGGTTTGAGCATGGTGACATTACACACGACATTTAGGAACCACGCATCCAAAGGTCAAATTTTGAAGGTAAAATTGTACGTGTCCTGGAATGTAATCTACTCACCTCATGATGAGCTGTAGTCTGCGAAAGAGTTCACACATTACTTGACACTCGAGATCACAACAATTCAAAAAGGTGATGCAAGAAGATTGCGAGCACATTGTGATGGAAGATAAAGTTCCGAATATATGCTGCTCACGGATGGTTATCGATAAACAAGTATGCTACTGAGAATAAAAATCCATTTCGATATTGAGAGTCATTGAAACACAAGTGCATCCAAATCCTATTTGTTCAACGACTTCAAAGAGAGCGATGAGTTAAAAAAAAGTAAATCAGAAGCAGTGATGTGAAATTGTATGCGTCGCTCATGACAGAAGTGGTGATAACCGGGTGCGACTGAAAGGGCTCTAGTAGTGGGAATAGATATTCAATGAATAAGTGAAGGTAGACGAGAAAAGGGTTCAATAACATTTCACAACTTGCTCAGGTAGCGTTAACAGCAGATTTTTAATCCTAGCACGAAGCTTGAACAAATCTGATTTCAGCTTCCTAAATTCAATGACTTCCGAATATAACAGGATGTGCTTCCATAATTGGGTTTTGGGTTTTGTTAATTAAATTATGGATGAAGTCTCTCGGTATCTGGGCCAACTATCAATTAATTGTTGCAAAATCAAACTCTTGAGATTTCTCACTAATTTCTTCCTTGCATTTGTACAATGCTCAATTGCCCTGTTGCAAAGCGATTCTTCATATGTCTCTAAGGAAACAAGCATTGCCTGTGCAAGTTCATATAGAATAAGCCATTGGTCCTAACAAGACTGTATCCTCAAGTCTTTGAACAACAAGCGGTTTGTCATTCGATGCTACTCTCAAGTACAATGTAAACGAAATATTGACGATCATATTTGATAAATGGAGTTTCAATAATTTTGCAAAACAACCCTCCTTGTTTCGACCATTCGTGTCTATCTACGTTGCACCAACCGAACACCACTTTAATATAGTTCAAAAGTAATCATCGAGAAATAAATGGTTTATAATATTCTCTACCAGGGAACTCTTGCTGCATAACTAAACTCTCTTTCTTATGCTTATAGGCTATAAATTTTCTTTGCATTCAGGTGATGGGAAGCGAATGCATTTTCTTCCTGTTTAACTGAAACGGCACGCTCCCATCCGTTAGTACCAAAACAATGCGCTTCCCCAATCATTAATAATCATGTTATTATTGTCCGCATGGAAAGATGTCAGAGCCGTGTGAGAGAAAGCTTCCGGTATTGAGCTTTAGTTCACCTACATAAACGGACATCTTAATTCGAGTTGGAGAGTTTCATGAGATAAGGCGAGGAACGGAAGAATATTATAGATATCGAAATCTTTTTCTTCGTGCCACGAAAGTCTCAGTACCGTCGGGGATGGGTTTCCAGGTTGTGGCTGGTCACCCATCCCTTGCACCTCGCGAAATGCTGCCATTCGGCAGAGCATCTCAAATAGCCTCTGTTGAGGAAGCCCTACTCACTGCCTTCTCGTGACGGAGGTGTTTTCCCACCAAAGTTAGAGAACTAAAACACAACCTCCAGGGATATAACCGGGTTGGTGAACCACTGGTAGTTCACCTAGGGGGGGTTAACCAAAACCCTGATTCAAAACCAACAAGATAAAGTGTAAGAACCGCACACACACCTTCCCGGTTGCGGCAGTGATATTGAAGTGTATTGTGTATCTTGAACNTGAACATTTGACCTCGTCCAAAAGGCGTATGATCCGATGAACTGGACACCGGCCCCAAATGGACTGCGGTTTCCACACACCGCCCCGCTGCCGTGCGGGTCAGACTTTGGCTAGCTAGACTCCGGTTGCGGATTCCTCAAGCAATTTCACCTTGGGAAACCTGGCAGCATTCGGTCCACATGCGATTCATTTACATTTATATTTTATAAAGCGAATTGTGCCATGATTTGTTTGGCACACAGTCTAGTGTCAGACGTTTGTGAACAGTGAAATATGCAAAAGACCCCATTAATGTTGTAGTCGATGTACAGGTCATTTGTGGTGCAGAGGGACATTTCACGGCAAGTAAATGTGGATATCCTTGGTATGATATATTCCAGGCTTTTATCCCAGAACCGAGAAATAATTTTACTAATATCAGCTGTTTTCTGACAGAATGCTTCAAAACGCAAGGGGAATAAATGGGTTTGCGAAAGTCTTCCGATTACTTGAAGTATTTCTACCTTTGTTATAAGAATTTTAACTGTTTTCAATGATCGTTCCGTAATCAAAGAAGCAGTAAATCCGCTCCTATTTGTGCAGAAAAGAACGAAAGCATTTAGCAGATCGGATTTTTTTTTACCCACAACCCATTTTTTGTGTAAAATGATTCCAGAAAATATACACAAAGACAGCTTCACCATGAATTCAGGCTTACTAGTGAATCAATGCATCAGCTTTTAGCGTTCTGTTTAGTTTTAAGCAACTTAAGTAATTTAGCCAAACTCTCCATTTTGTACACCATTGCGTACACCTTAAAAGGTAGTTAAATGTTTACCTGAATGAAAGGAAACTTTGTCGAACAGCTCTTGAGTGACATCTGATCACCTAATGGAGGGGAAAAGGTCCTCATTTGGTCAAATAGTGGGTACTGTTGTGTGGCCTAATACATTTGTTGGATTATTCTTGTATACATTGCTCCCACTGAACGCGCAACATGCTCGATGTACACACGCAGACGTACGTAGAGCCCTACAGACTTACACGCACATGACACGGACATCTCTTACCGCGACCATGATTACAATGACCAATCAGACTGCACCACGTGTCTGCTTGATTGGGTGACTGCTGTACGGGCTGTACCAGCTGATGACATCTTTTTATTATTGTACATGAATTACCATGCTAATGGTTTATGCCTAATTAAAAGGAGTTACGTGCATATCACGAGTTCTATTGAATACAGCGAGTACCACGCATTAGTGACAGCTGCATTTGTTCACAATATAGGGAGCGGAGTGTGGTTTGTGCTTGCCGTTACCCTCCAGGATTTCCATCATTTCGGCGAGGTTCTCATCTCTTTTCTTTTATTCTGATACTGAAGATTTCTTTTAATCGTTTTCTGTAAAGAGTGAATAGCTTTGCTGCAGATATATTCTGAAATTTAGCTAGAATTCCAGCAAAACAGCATTCTTGGACTGTCATGCAGTTTGTGTCTACGACAAACGAGAAAGAGCAGAAGTCGTTTAATATGCTGTCTGTCAACACTCACAAGGAGTCCAAGTGAATCGCCGTTTTATGACTGAAAAATTTGCTAGCTGATTTCATCAAGTGATCATTCAATTACTTATGAACCAATTGTGTGACAAAAACGTCTTTCTATTTTGGAAAAACGGGATATTTTGAGGTCAAACGTGTCCCTCTAATGAGCCAAAAACAAACGAAATGTGATAGAGGTTGGTCGATTTGCATTTTGATTCACTCGTATAACTATAGACAAGTGGAGGTCTGTACAGGCGAGTTGGTGGATTGCACAACAAATGGGATAAAGAGAGATAGAGGATAATAATAGTGGGATTGGCAGTTCGCCCCAATTAGTAATTTGTCCATGCCCTGAGTCAGTGGTACGGTCAAAATGAAGGAAAGTGATGGAAACCAGTATGATACACTTCAGTAAAACGAGATTGTAAACAATGGTCGATAACGGATTTTACCAGACTAGGCGCAAAAACAGATGGGCCCCAAGGGCTGGATACAAAGCAATGAAAATTACAAAATGGGGATCAGGTAGATTTGTTTGATCACATCCGTATTCACGTGGAACCGTTTCTGCTAAAAATGCAATTCAGAACGCCAATAGAATATACTTATTCTCCGGTAGATTCACTTCGGTTTGTTGATTGTAAGCTCTCCGTGGTCTCCACCGGTGACGCACGAGCACCAGCATTGTAATTGTCGATAGACAAAGACAGGAAATCATCCACTTCGCGTGATTCTTCGAGTTGAGGAATCAGGCCGTTTAACGTTTCTGGTTTGCGGGGCACACGACCTGCCACCAGATCGGCCTCGAAGTCACAAAGCTGACCAAGGAATGCGAAATTTGGCGAGATGACGGAACGCTTGGATTTGACCCAACGATAAGCTTCGCGAAGAGATAGGCCGGAGTGAGCCATAAGGTAGGCAATTACAAAGGCTGGAGATCGCGAAACGCCCGCTTGACAGTGAACGAGAACTGAGTCGCCAGCTTCTCTGGATTGTTCTATTTTAATGAAGGTAGATAAAAAGATCAGGACGAAACATACTTTTAAGTTTGATTAAATGCACCAGATCGAGATCCTATAAAATCAAATGTATATCATAAGCAATTTACAGGTATCTGCTTCGTTTGTAGCAATGAAATTCTGACTTCACACGGTTCCATTTTACAGCTTAAGATGCCTTGATTTCTTACATAATAAACAGTTGAAGCCGGATGAACCTGAATCCATGTATATATGTTTGATACTAATTCTATGGGTTAAAATTACCATATCGATGGTCCATTATTGATGGAGAAATGGTGCATCACATGTGACCTCTTAACAAGGGGACACTGAAGCGTGTACACCTCCGCGGCTGTGTAGATTGATTTCAGTTAAACTGACCAAATCAGGACATGATTATACTCAACTGTTGCCGTTGTACCAACTTTGAAGAACGTACATGTGTAAAGGCCTTGAACTATGAAAATATTTTTCCATCAGGACAGCTTCATTGTAAGCACGCAAAATGAAAATAAGCACACTAGGCATGCTTAAATGTTCATCCAAACGGAATGCATGTGATGCGAATAATACTTGAATCATAGACGCGATAGATAGGACGACTTAGAACGGACACTGAGAGTCCTGATCTAGGACATCGGTGTGGTCCCAACCGATAACAATATCATGAACCTCAGACAATATTGCTGATTGCAGTCTACTAACTGTGTTAACTGAAAATATCATAATTCCTTGTCACTTCTCGTCCTTAAATAATGAACAAAGATTGGAGAGTTCTGGTGCTGAGTAAGGAACCTTTGCAAATATTGATATGCGAATGGCCCACTCCCAAGGTGCAGGCTATTCTAATGAATCATTTAGTGACTCTTCTCTCTTGTTTTCGGTATATCAAAACCTCACCCAAATCCCCATCATGAAATAAGCAAAGGACTTTATAAAATGCTCATAATAGTACTGAAGATGTAGGCGTTTCAATCGGTATCTGGTTGTGACCCGATATACCAAAAACAATTGAAAAGTAATCAATTATTCAGCTACTCACATACTCAAACGGGTCCAAACTGTCCGTTCCTATTGCACACTTTTTTCGTGCCGAGAAATCAATAAAATGAGAGTGCGTTCACGGTAAGGTCAGGAATGCGGCTCACACTTGAGGGAAAAGCAACCTGATTATCTCATTCTATGGACCAGAGGGACGGGTAAATACTTTCAATAACCTCGCATTTAGTTTCACCCTGGTTAAGGTGTTCCTTAGCTAACACCTAAGGTACTCGAATTTAGCATACAATGGGAGACGGTTAGGTAGCTGAGTGGGCGTGGAATATAAGTAGGTAGGTAGCCACATTCAAATTAGCTTGAACACGAAGCCAAAAGAGGGATGAAGTACCATGTTTTGTTTTTCTGTAACTACGAACGATCGTGCACGGGAATTAAATGTTTGGAAATATCTTAGGATCGACGCTGAATGATGCTGCAGCGAAGGGGAATTCAATCTCAGAGAAAGGGTAGCAACGGTACACAACATAAAACACCGTACTCGGTTTGTATTATGAGACAAATAATGAAAGATATCATCTTCGTTTAACGAGGTACGCATGACGTTTGCTCCGTTGAAGGTTTAAAACACTATTGCTATAAACAAGGATTTGTGCCGATCAAAGGGATGAATCAGCAAATCAATTTGTCTTAGTTATCACATTACACTTGGCTGGGATAAATGGGGATCCCATTAGATATATTATACGATCTTTGTCAAACCCTCATGATTATTATCAGACTTTCCAGTTCAACTGCAACTAGGCACCTTTGTTGTCGCCCGTTGTTATCCCACGCTTGACCTAGCGGGGCCTCATTTGGTTTACCAGCCTAAATCTTGGGGCTTAGGATATCGGTTAACATCACTCAGCAGCAGGTCTTCGTGAATATCGCGTCCATCCCGTCTGCTGTTCATCACACAATGGTTTGTAATACAAAAGTTTCATCATAGAGTAGATGTACGTTCTCCGTTCTAGGAGAAAAGTGCACAAAGAAACCTCGTTTGTGGCCAGTAATATAGGCTGACAATGAACAATGTAGCATATATTTGCTGGAGTGAAACGTTATTTCGTTGTACACAAAATTAGTAGGACCGTTTTAAAACGGCAATGATCTGTTATTTCATGATCGTTTTGCATCAGCATGGGATGCAAGCGTTGTACAACTAATGGGACAAGGGAAATTAGTATAGGTTTCAAGATATTTATCCTTGAAATACTTATATTTCTTAGAACACTTATGTGCAACACCAGAAACATTTCCCATTAACTTGTGGTATCAGTGAAACAAATTGAAGAACCACTAATCATGGTCACGGAAGTGAAAGTCTCCTCAAACTCGATGAATCCATCGAAAACGACCAAGTGGAAGGGGAGGACAGTGATCGGAGTCTTTGCGTGTTTACAGGTTTGTGCATCACTAAGCATCAACTTATTCGCCCAACCGGAAAAATACAACACAATCTAAAATACGCTCTGTCAGACTTTATTTTATAAGCTTCTTTAAGCTTCACTCGTTTGACGCACTGTCTTTTACCAATTCGTGTGTTCCTGTGGAACCACTTACATTGGTCGTACCATCCGCCGCTTGGCTGAACGCATTCGAGAACACCACCC